GTACATGTGCCCATCCAGCGTCTGCGTCGAGTACTGAAATGAATCCTCGCAGCTCCTGTGAGCCCATGCCACTACCACATCATTGCGCACCCCGACTTGAAACTAGCTCAAATACGCACTCGGGAGGTGCAGCTTGTATATTCAAATGGCCGCCTCGCCTCGCACAGTGTATGAGTGCTAAAATGTGAGCATATAGTGTCGTGTTACGCATTCGTACATTAAAAACGTGAGGCTACATGTGTCTACGCCCGCCGCACAAGGTCGCCCGCCACATGCGGACAACCTCGCGCCGCGAAACGATCATCCCAACTCGCATCGTAAAACAACAAACACAACACAGAATCACCACGCGAAAGACTCCTCAAAGTACTCCAGCCCGTCGCCCCGGATCTGGTGCTCGCCCGTGCCGTACGCATTCACGACTGCGCGCCGGAGGTCATCCATCATGCGCGCCGGACCGCATGCCACGACCGCGACGCGCTCGCCGCCGACGAGCTGCTTGAGCGCCTCCCCGATGAGCGCGTCCATTTGCGGGCGTCCGGCGAGGATGGCGGGCGCGGCGGTGCTCGCGCTGCTGAGCGACTTCGCGTCCTCGCTCTTTTCGGTGGGTGCGTCAGACCCGAGGCGTGCGTGCGCGTTCGCGGGCAGCGACGCGACGAAGTCAGCTGCCTGCACGCCGGACTCGCGTGTGAGGTAGAGCTCGACGGTGATGTGCAGGCTCTCGGTCGACGCGACGGAGGCGAGCTCGTGCGCGAGCACGTCGGCTGCGTAGACGGAGTTCTTGACGATCCATACGACGTGCACGTGGCGGGTCGCGCGTGTGGTCGTGTCCTTGGTCCGGAGCTCGTGGAGGTAGGGGAGGATGGCCGTGATACCGCTGCCGCCAGCGACGAGGAGGACGTGCTCGAATCGGCCAACGTTCTCCGAATGCCCGTAGGGACCCTCGATGAGCACACGCATGTTCGCCTTCCCGCTCTGCGACTTCTCGATCCTCTTCTTCATCTTGCGCGTCGCGCCATCCAGAGGCGCGATGAGGAAGTGGAGGTCGGTGCCGCCGTTTGCGTTCTTCTCCCAGCTGCCCAGCGTGAATGGATGGTTCTCCCACGGGGTGATGGACATGGGCGTATAGAGGAAGAAGTAGTCACCGGGCTTCGGTGTCAATGGGAGGGCAGAGGTGACGGTCATGCGGACGAGGCCTTGCTCGCCGCCGGTCATCACAGCGACGGTGTTGCCCCCGCTGCGGAACGCGTTGAAGGACAGGACGGCCACGCGGACGATGCGGAGGAAGCGGTCGAACACCTATCGGGAACCGTGAGCCATTCGTATTCGGCCTCGCACACATCACGGAGGGTGACTCACCCAGATGGCAACACAGGCCCACAGCCAGGGCTCGTACTCGCCATCGAAGATCTCGATGTGGTAGAAGAGTAGGATGAGGGTGACGAGTGCCAACAGGATGTGTACGATCAAGAAGAACTCATAAAGCTTTTTGCGGAGCGGGAGGATCGACAGCGGGAGGAGCAAGCACATGAATACCGTGGCCTAAGGTGTGTCAGCCTTGTGTGCGAGAGTTGAGTCGAGAGACTACTTACGAACACGCCGGTCCTCCAGTAGAGTTCAGCCCAATCTTCTGCGATGTTCTCACGAACGATCCAGGTGTAAGCGCTGCGTGTGGGTCAGCACCTGAGAAGTAACGCTATTTGACGGATGCCTACGCGGAGTGGATGATGGCCTGGATCGTGGCAACACGAGCAACCCATCGGTGGAACAAATTCATCGAGGCTGGTACACAAAAGGTTGGTTTTCCAAACTATCGTTGTAGCAGTTATTAAACTTACAATACGACCAGCCCGTCAGCCAGATGAGGACGTCGTTCCTGCCGGCGAGCGCCCAGAGGAGCGGCAAGTTGTAAAAGGACATGATACCCGTCCGGTCAGCGACGTAACGCCACAACTGTTCGTCTTTCGCTCCAGGCCAGTACAAGTTCTCCAAGAAGAGGTCGTAGCATGTGACTGTGAACACGAGGTTGATGAGGCAGAAGGCGAAGACCTGAGCATACTACGGTCAGTGGCGAAGTTGAGGAGTCGGTGGATCAACACTCACGAAGAACGCCTGGATCCGGGTCGGAATCGACAACATCCCCCAAGGCTGGCAGTGGAGATAGCCGAACGTCGCTGGCGTCGAGATATACTTGCGGTACAGGGTGTACGCCGAGCCCGACCAGGAGTTCTCATGCGGGATATACCCACGGTACTTGTCCTCAACGGAGACTTGCTTGGTGCGAGTGCTTATGAAGACCAGAACGCGGTTGACAAGGCCAACGAGGACTATGGCGCCGACTAGGATGTACAAGCTCCAGCCGAACGCGTGGTGCTAGGGAGCAAGGTGAGGGGCGGTCGATCGTAAAAATGTACGAAACACATACAAAGTTCATTTCGCGATTCCAAGCATTCTAAACGGCCGTCAGTCAACGAAGTATGGTGAGCATGCAACCGCAACTTACCTCAGTGTGAAGCCCGGCATAGAAGGAGTCGTAGTTGACCAGCACGGTCGAGTTGAACGTGGTGCCCGCCGCGGCGAGGCCGTCGACGGGCACCACGGACGACGCGTTGATGAGGGCTTTTGCGTCCTCGAAAGGCATCAAGGCCGTCTCGGCGTACTCTTCGCAGTAGCCGGTCACCTTCGTCCACCCGGCTGTCTTCTGGGCGGGTGTACAGTAGGTGTCGGTACAAATCGCGAGGGATGTGACCATGTAGACCGAGTTACACAGGCTGTAATAGTACCCCGCATCCGCAGAGACGTCGCTGAACTTGAGGAGCTCGAGGGTATCGACGCAGCCGAAGAGGCAGTTCGATTCCTCGAGGCCGAGCGTGACCTTGAGCCTGTCGGCGGCGGCGTAGGGCGCGACGAGACCGAGGACGGCCAGCGTGGACACGACGTTTCTCGAGAACATCTTGAAGGTCCGAGGGCTTCGTCTGAGGCGTGAGCTGATGCTGGAGCAGGGGACCCGGGGGGTACCCTGCCCCAGATGGATTCCTATTAAACCTGGACGAGGACCAACGCGAGCGTCGAGATTCCGAGGTCTCTCCTCGGGCGCTTTGTCTGATTAGATCTTCTAAAGCCTTCGGGACCGGCGCGGACCTGTGATCTTATCTGATTGTGAGATGGCTAAGTGGTCGGCCGACCCTAGTGGGCCCACCATCAGGGCCTGTCTATCTTATCTGATTACCCGCCCCGCGGCGTTTGAGCCAAGAAGTCTGTTTCTGCCCGACGTGCATGCGGGAACAACTTGTCTTCCCCTTTCTCGCCTTTCACGCTGCCAAACCCCTGACAGTCCAGAAGGCTCTGGAGCGCGTTCCTTGCAATGCGCCGCAAATGAGAGGTCAAGGAAGGCGCCACTCGACATCCCTCAGTGAGCACGCGGGGTCCGACCGACGTTCGCTGCGGGAAAGGTATGCGATTTTCCCCGCTTTGATTGCTCTAGATGTCGACCGTCCGACGAACACGCAAGGTAATCAGGCACGCTGCTAAATAGTTGTCGACGAAAGGCAACGGAACGTGTGCACGGTCAAAATCCGGATGCCACCGTCGGTCGGTCCCAACGTATTTTTAGCGTAACTCGCGCGTAGGCGTCATTTTAGCTGCACAGGTCGAGGAAATCAATCCGCCCTCTTTAGCATGGAACGGAAGCCCTCCCACTACGACCTACCGACGGTCCTCGGAAGACTTGGTCAAAATCCAACCCGCGGATGCTCGTGCACGGCCAGACTCGCATCCAACCGAGCTCAGAAACCGACGCAGCGGCTACTAATAAAATGCAGCACGAAGGCCCTTTCGTGGGCCGCATCCAGACCTCCACACAAACGGGCCACCGCAGCGGGCCAAGACACTCCGTCCGCGCGTCGCACCCAGGGAGCCGGCTACTGTCGGGGGTGGCGTGCCAATCCGCTTACGGCGGTTCTCTCCTGCTTCCTTGACGTGCCTGTGAGCTCGGATGGCCAGTGGATGGCCTTGCGCGACGATTTGGGCCGAACGTATGCTCAAGGCATCCGTCGGGAACCACGCCGCACCACGGTCCGTGTCTGTCTGGCATACGCATGGTTGGACTGACTGGAGATCGTCGCTGTCCGCCTGTCTGCGGTAGTTCACCGTCCGAACACTCTGGCAGCAAAGGTTGAAAATAGGTACGTGTTGACTACGCTCTTCTTCGTTGAATCTATGTCCCCAGAGCGGGGGGACTGACTGAAATCCTGCCTGTGATAGGACACATCTGAGGTCCTCCGAGTCTTCGGTCACTGACTCGGACGGCCGGATGCTCTTCCGCCAGGAGCTTCCACCACTTTACATCGCAAGGTGTCCACACGCTTCTGGCGGGTACCCCTGCGCTCACTCAACTTCTCGTGAGGCATTTTCCCTGTGGATAGACGGATAGTGGACGTGGCACATAATGCATGATCCAATCTCAGTCGCGCATCTCAATTCGCGCGTCGTTTAGCCTCGAAGACGTCCTTTTGCAGACGCTGCGTGGACTTCAACTCCTTGATCGTAGCTGCGACCGATGGCTCACGGCTGGCACGGCAAACCGTTCACGAGGAATCGACGCGCCTTTCTTCTCGAATGCCACCGCCGGCTTTTACTTTCCAAAAAGAAATACATTCGCATGGTGAGTTGAGGCTCGCCAAGAGCTGCGTTATCAGAAAATGCAAAAGAGGTCCAGTGTGGGAAACCGTACTCGAAGTAAAGCTTGGAATCTACGGTGCTGCGTCGCAGTAGAGTGCACCGCTGTTGGGAGGGACTTGGCTGAATCTCGAGATGTATGGGTGCATGTGGGTGCCACACTGCCGCGGCCGGTTGGCGTCGGCTGTTGCTGCTTCTGCAACAAGTCAAAGACCTCAGAGATCCATGGTCAAACAACTTGACCATAAACTATCACCGTCACTCGTTACCTGTACATAAAAATATTAACATTTTTACGGTGGAAGGGGCAAAACATGAACCACTACCACCGACGGGGATCGAACCCGCAACCCCCACCTATCACTTCCTGGTTAGGAAGGTGATGCGCTACCATTGCGCCACGATGGCCTTATTTAAGAATTTTTGTCAAATAACTATATATCGCGCAGACACTGCTAGTGGGTCTTATCGTCACTTTTGTTTGCTCATACATCGATCATTAATATTTACTACATAGGGGCGATAGCGGTACGTCCCACCCTGTATAATTCAGAGGCAGTCATCCCCAGCTCTCATTTTGAAACCATTCTAATGAAGTACTTCGGGATAGGACATGCCGAGGGATATACAAGAGTCCTGTCCCCACTCACATATTACTCTGATGGAAGTAAAACTCCCAACATGGTGAGAACTCACACGGCGCTTCGTACTACGTCCGCACAGGCTTTGACCTCCACCCGTCACCCCGTCCTACACGCTCACTGCAGTGCCCCGTGTGCAAAACACGTACGCGGCACAGACAAGCCTCCGAGGGCTGGCCGCTGGTGTTATGGCGGACGCGCCCGCGGCCCATGCCATCTGCTGCACCGCCATGGAGCATGCAAGAATCACCGCCGCACCGGGGACACACAAGCATACATACCACACTGCGGGATGGCCCGCCGCGCGCCGAGCGACGGGCACACAAGTACCTGCACCGCTTCAGAGGAGCGCCGCGCGGCCGAGGAAGGCTTGTGCCCGGTCGGCTCGTGGACGGGCCCACGGGACGCACCCCACGCGGTCAGATCTGGGGGGATCTCGCTCGAGATGGCGGGCGCAGCAGCGCGAGGGTCAACTTGAATTTGGCTCCTACAGGGACACACAACGGCGGGGGCAGTGCGCGCTGGTCCTCTGGACCCATGACCTTCCTTCGGCGAGCCGGAGGTTGGAGCCAGGTGGCAGGTCAGTACCATCATAGCACTTCAGCGTGCGCAGACGTGCGATGAAGTATTCGGATGGGGCTGCTGTTACTGCAGCACTAAACCCGAGCATATTTTGTTCACGGGGGATACGCACGCCCGCTGCCAGCCGCACAGGCTGCGTGACGAAATGTCCCACTTCAAACTGAAGCTTGAAGCTGAAGGCCTAGGGTATGGGCAGGCGGTGCAAACCCGGATATCGAGAAGCTAGGGAAGCCGTCGATCGGCTATGCGCGTATACCCGTCCCCGAGGTGCAGTCAGCGTCGTCATACAGTCATACAGTCATACAGTCATACACGCACATGCAGCGACCTCAGACTCCGAGCTCAAGGTCGCCGGTGGATAGCCAGGTGCTAATTGGCACACACCGGTGTGCACCGCCGCGCACCGCCTCGCACGTCAATGTCCCACGAACGCGGGCGCGGGTGAGGTTGGTGGCAAGCACTAGTGGTGCTGGCACCGCCTCCATGTCGCGCTGTGGATGACTGCAGAACAGACGCGTCGTGTCGCGCATGCCGTGCCACGCGCGTCCGCACTTCGACGTTTTGCCTTCAGCTCTGCGTCTGACCACGCACTGACGCATCTGTCATCGTATGTCGCGGGAACTTCGATGGCCCGTGCTATGTCCGCGATCAAGTTCGGGATCGGACCCGCTGCTCGTATCCTTGAGGTAGGCGTGAGGTCATCCCCCCCTGACGCACAAGCAGGCGATTGTCCTTCGACCGTGCAGACTGGTAGTTCGTTCTTGCAACCGATGCGCCCTACCGAATCTAGACATGCTTAAGCTTCTATGTCGTACTTGGCAGAGCTGGGGATCAGCACTTCTGGGATGTACAGCCAGTGCCTGCCACTGTGGCGGACCGTCTGTAGCCTCGAGGAACAAGCTGTGCTAGGACGTCACACAGCGGCTCTAAACGAACTGACGGCATGGCAACTTTGCCCATGTGCAGCCCACGTGCACTTCCCGCTGCCGCATCTGGCGGCGTGCCCCAGTCGGAGATGCCGCCGGGGTAGAGGCCCGAGACGCAGCAGAGCGTGCGGGGCTTTGTACTTCTCCGACTACTTGTGCTCCGCATACTTTGACGCAGCCCTGCCCCTTGGCTGCAGATGCGCGGGTATCAAGCCCGAAGCGCACATATCCAGGCGGGCAGGACCAGGGGGATGGTTCGAGTAGACGTTGAGAGCAAGCGCACGTGCGTCTCTCCTCGCCCGAGCCCGGTCAGTAGCGCGATAATCCACCACGCCAGCCCGGAACTTCTGGATTCCTCGACCCTCGGTCTACAATCGGTGGTGCGAATACACTGACCGGCCCCTCGAGCGAGGTCACCGCGGATCCTCGGCCAGTTTTGTCTGCTGGTGTTGTACCCGGGTCTTGCTTCTTGTCGAGTTGTGGTCCGGGGCGATCGAAGCGCCCCGTGAGACTCGGGATGGCCTCGGCCAGTGGATGTTTGGAGAAGACGTTAGCGCAGAGTAGCGACTGGCACGCGATCATCACCTCAAAGTCCTTCTGGCCGGCGGGCGGCGCTACGCACATCACGATACGCACCATCAGCAACGCACATGGGGGAGACAAACGCTTCGTGGGGGGCGGCGGCGGCGGCGGCGGCAACGGCAGGGGGGAGCCGCAGTCGCGCGCATGCAAACTTTGATCGCGCGCGTCGAGCGCGAACATTTCAGGGGGACAAGGTTCGAAACGCACACACTCCGCGCAAGAAGAAGAAGATGGAGAGAGGAGAGAGGGCAGTGGGAGATCCGCCTGCAGCTGGCGCGCGCCGTTGCCCTCCCCGTCCGCGCCAAAGCCTGCTGCTTACCGGGTCAGGCCGAAACAAGGCGGCGCGGAGCGCGAAGTTGCGCTTCCGGGTTTGTCCCTCCATCCTCGTTGGACGCGTCCCCCCTGATGCGTTGTAACTCGTGCGCAAGAAGAAGCGTGCACGGGCTCATCGAAACTCTCTGCGCGCGTAATTTTGTGCGTAATGACTGGATTTGAGGCGCGTGCTTACCGAGTGCACGCTCGCGCCCGTGACGGAGCGAGCAAAGCCCCGTCGTCTCGGTGGGCTGATGCGCTGCGCCGATGCGTCCCAGACCGAGAGAGCTCCTCTGACAGCACGGCGCCGTAGGTTGCGCCGTTGCGAAGTGGAGGGACGTGAACCGCTGGGCTCGGAAACACCGTTAGAGGCAGGAAAGACCGGACGGCGGGGGCGCGGGCTCCAAGCTTCCCGGGTCGCGGCAGATCCGGAGATTGGAGTGCAGCGGCGAGCGATAGCTAGCGCCAAATCGGCTAGCTAAACAGCGCTCTCGATTGTCGGTGCAGAGGACAAAATCACGCATCAGGGGGGAAGGGCGAAGCGACGTTAACGTTAACGTTCACACTAGCAGGAGAGCGCCGCCGTGCGTGGCGGAAGCTTGACACTTGGTCATTCCCTGCTGGGGCGCTCGCAAGTACTAGCTTACAGGTTATGCAGTATCGGAACTGTAAGATCATACGTAAAGCTCTGCAAGCGCATAGAATACGTATTGACAAGTCCTTATGAGCTACTATCAGGGTCCTAGAGTTCGGACGGGACCATGGTTTTTTTGCCATGCAAACCGGGGCGCTATTACCTGTCTCGCGAAAGGGGACTCCAGTATTTCTCCTGCGGATAGAGCACATAATATACATATGTTCCTCCAACTTCTCCGAGGTTCTCCGCATCGTTGGGGAATGGAAAGTTGAATAGTAAGAGTTGTGAAGCTCAAGGTGTGGAATTCCGTCACTTCTCCACATCAAAATGTCCGAACACTGGGTCCCTCTCATTAGTTGGCCGCTAGCTTGCTCAAATCATCATGGATCTGGTTCATACTCGGTAAGTTGGTAGAGGTGCATCTCAAATACTATTCTTAGATATCTTATGGCTATCTGTGGCACGGGTGAGGAGGAATTCGCTGTGCACCGAGGGGACTTCTCGTTGCGCATCGCGCGCGTGCACCAGTGGATCGGAGCTCGAATGCGGCATGGCTCGGCAGCGTGACATTCCGTTACTTCTCCACATCAAAACGTCCGAACACTGGTACCCTCTCACTTGTTTACCTCTAGCTCTCTCAAATCGTCATGAATGTCGTTCAAACGTGGTACGTCGGTAGATGGACATCTCAAGCCCCATCCGTTGAAATTTCATCGTTATCGGTGGCACGGGAGATGAGAAAGCCGCTGTGCACTGAGGGGTACCCTCAGCCCATCCGAACTCCCGGTCCATGATAGTATTGCCAATCGTCCTAATTCCCGCCGTACACTGCGCTGCCGTCCCCTCAAATGCTTCTAGGATGGTAGTCTAGGCCCCTCCTCACTGTCGCGCTACGTTGCATATCAAGGCTCACGCTTTTGTTCGGTTCAGCAACGCGACATGCGCAGTACCGCACAGATGTATACCTCTCGAGTTACAGAAACGAAGAACATCATATATATACGGCATCGCACCTAGGACTGAGATCTTGGATTCTAGATATAGAGCCCAATGGGTGGGAGGACCACTGGCGCCAGGTATTCCCAAACCATACGTGCACGCCTGCATCGCTGGGGGGACCAAGCGAGTTCGCTCGGCGGACGAGCCTGTACCTCGTCGTGGTCGCCGTGTCACGGTGCAAAGCGTCAAGATCTAGAGCTGCGGGTAAGGAGTGGGCTCGAGCGAGGCACGGCTGCTTCCTCTTCCAGTCCCTCTCAGTCTCGCAGCGGGTGCCCACGCGGGAGATGCGATGGCGAGATGTGGTGATGGAGGATGGGCGCCGAGCGGGCGGAAGAGGTAATAGAGAGCGCCGAGTTCATACGCCGCGGTCGCGAGGACGGGGCTCGGAGGGAGGAGAACATTTGTTGCATCTGGCCATCTGGGCGCGGTGCGGTGATGGTGATCATGGAGGGATGATGGGGCGTCTGGGGATGGACGAACTTTGAGCTTGTCGGTGTCAAAGAAGGTTGCTGCGTGTGGTAGGAGGGGAAAGGAAGGAGGATCGTGTACTTTCGGAGGAGAGGGGAATGATGGGGGGTGTGAAGCCGGCGACGGGGCGCGCAGCAAGGGCGGGAGGACAGAGCCGAGGACCATGCAAGGACGGACGAGATGGATGGTGATTAATATTGAATATTGATTGTCTGCGGACTGACACTGACATGATGGTCAACCAAAACACATCGCGGTCTG